CTAGAAATGTTTTCATAGAACATGACCCCTCCAGTCGACTTTAGTTTTATCACCCCTCAAGTAACTATACATGATATTAGTCTTGTACCTCCCACCTGACTGGAACTTCTGCCAAGCTTCAGAATTAGTCATCAGGTCCATATTCTTGAAGATAGCCTTTATAATCCAAGAGAAATTATGGGCAGGCTTGAAATCCTTTACATTAACCTATTTCATATAGTAAGTATGAAGCCATTTAATCCACAAAATATCCTTCTTGCTCCAAATGTTCCACATCATTCTACCAATGGTTGCTTTATTCCAAACAACCAAAGATATCATGTTTCCCCCACCTGCAGATACAGGATTACACACATGATTCCAGGAAATTTGCGCTTTTCTACTGCTCTCATTTGTACCAACCCATAGAAACCTTTTGCAAAGCCCTTCAACATGTGCTACAACTTTTTTTTGGCAATGGAAAGATTTGCATCCAATAGTTAGAAATAGAGAATATAACACTCCTAACTAATTGGAGTCTGCCAGCATAAGATAACCGTTTGGTACTCCAATGATTAATTCTTTGGAGCATCCTTTCAATTAGAGGTTGACAATTATGGACAGTTAGCTTTTTTCTATTCAAAGGCACACCAAGATATCTGAATGGCATCACACCTGCTGCCGGACCAGTTTCTTGATGTAAATGTCTTATAGTGTCCTTATCCACTCCCCCCATAAGCAACTTGCTTTTAAGGCTACTAATACATAAACCTGTTATATCTTAGATGTTTTGGACTTTCTCCATAGCCAACTTCAGAGATACAATGTCTCCCCTGGTAAATAACATGATATCATCTGCAAAAAACAAGTTAATGATTTTTAGCTTCTCACACCTGGGATGGAAGTTAAAATCAGGGTTATATTGTAAGCTTTGGAGTGTTATGTGATGGTATTCCATGATGATCACAAACAATAGAGGTGATATGGGGTCTCACTGCCTCAGCCCTCTTTTTGCTCTTATAAGTTTTGATGGAGTACCATTTATTGAAAACCTGTATGAAATAGTAGTCACACATGACATGACCCAATTAATGAACACCTGAGGTATACCAATCTCTAGCATGATGTGTGTCAAAGCTTGACAGTCCACAGTATCATATGCTTTTTGAATATCCAGTAGGATCATACATCTGGGAGACAAATCTTTTCTGCCATATCCTCTCACCAATTCCTGAGCAAGCATGATATTATGAATTATTCTGCCAGGAACAAATCCAAATTGAGTATCTTCAATAATGCTGCCAATGACTGTACCAAGTCTAGAAGTTAGAATCTTTGAAATGATCTTGTAGATATTACTACAACAAGATATTGTTTGAATAAACTTCAATCTTACGAAAACAATTATTAAGATGAAAATTGTTTTGTTTCTGCAAATTATTTAGGGATGAATATTCAATATTACAAAAACAATTATGATGTATTTTGTTTTATTTTCTTATGCAGCAAGGTATCAGTGAAGATGTTGAAAAGGACGATATAGATGATGAAATTCAAGAGGACGACGTAGATGATGGATTTCAAGAGAACGTTGTAGGGGACGTATTTCAAGAGGAAGACATAGATGTAGATGATGAATTTCAAAAGGGCGATGTAGATGGTGAATTTCAAGAGGACAGCATAGATGAAGAATTTTTGAAGGACGACATATGTGATTAATTTCAAGAGGACAATATGGATGATGAATTAATCCAAGAAGACAAACTTGAATGAGTTGGATGATGTCTTTCTTTTAGCTTGTAATTGAAAGCATTAAACTTAAACTATGTGTTTTGTTATTTTGTTAGGGTCATACTTTAAAGTATTAAACTTATTATTATAAGCCATGTTACGTTAGGCATTTTGTTTACTATATACTCTCTTGAATTAATGTTTGAACTCAATTTTATTATAATACAACTTTTGTGGATGTACGGTTAAATTTGATCTTGTTTAAGTTATAATCTTTATTTTTTGAAGTCAGTCATCATCAACTATATTATTTAGAAAATAATTACAAAATTGTATATTTTATGGGAACACTGTAAAAACAACCCTCCTGATTCAGAAGGTGGGGACACTTTAAAAACAATCCTCCTTATTTTATGGGGACACTTTAAAAACAATCCTCTTGATTTAGATTTAAGACAACACTTACTAATTGTAACTGCATTTGGCAACACTTAAAAAGCGTCGCCTCAGAGGCCACGAATAATCGTCCTCTATTCCTTTTGTGACAACACTTAAAAAGCGTCGCTTCAAAGGTCACGAATAATCGTCTCCTATTCCTTTTGTGGCAATACTTAAAAAGCGCCGTCTCAGAGACCACGAAAAATCGTCCCGTATTCCTTTTATATAGGCAACATTTTTAAAAATCATGCCCAAAGATCATGAAAAAACGTCGCCTTAGACAATAGGTAACGCTAGGACATGAGACACCTAGAAAACGTCTTCTATTCTTTTAGACAACATTTTCAGAGTTTTGGCAACGTTTTTTAATGGTTGCTGTAGAGTCTGAATATTGTAGTGACGGTTATTTTGCTTTTGTCTCTTTATTTGATGAATGAATACAAATATTTGAAAGACATTGATTTTTATGGAGTAAGAGGTACACTCTTAAATTACTTAGGGCTAAAATTCACTGACTTTAAGTCACGGTTAATTTGTTTGTGTCTCTATTTAATAAATAAATACAAATATTTGAAAGACATTGATTTTTATGGAATAAGAGATACACTCTTGAATTACTTCGGGTTAAAATTCACTGACTTTGAGTCACGGTTATTTTGCTTTTGTTTCTCTATTTGATGAATGAATACAAATATTTAAAAGTTATTGATTTTTATGAATTAAGAGGTATACTCTCAAATTATTTAGGGCTAAAATCCATTGACTTTGAGCTACGATGATTTTTCTTCTGTCTCTATTAGATAAATGAATTCAAATATTTGAAAGACATTGATTTTTATGGGGTAAGAGTTACGCAGGCAGTGACTGCATTTGTTTTGTTTTACGACGTGTGTGGAAGAAAACACTTGGACGATAGCATAGCGATAACAGCGCACTTACGATATGATAATGATGTGAGGGAATGGAATAGATAGAGATAGAAAAAGAAACAGTAAAAAGGATTAATAATTCTAGCTGAATTGATTCATGAACAGTAGTAGCTAGGTATAAGAAGCTATAAGCAATAGGTATAGATAGGGTGAACATGAAAATAGAACATGGCAGGGCCATGTTGTGTGTGAGTAATATGAATTGGGAATTGTAAAAATATTTGAAAAGAAAGATGTCTATGCTGCTGATGCTGCTTCTGCTGCTGCAATGCAACCACACGTAAACATCCACCACGTTCATCACTCTTTTGAGAGAGACAGCCTTAGACTCTCTGCAAATCTGTGAATTTGGGTTACACTTTTCTTATTGTCTCTTACTCTCACACGTGTGAAGAATCACTTATCATAAATAAAATGAATGAATCATTATGGTAATTATAACATCTATATATATTGATAGTAACAGCTTAAATAATTACAAAACGGTTTAGAAAGGGAATACTTTTCTTAATAACTCCAAACTATATAATGTCAAAAACCATATAAACGGAGTTCATGATATATTTTCTTAGGACATAAACTATGTATAAGTGTTTGTTTGATTGAGTTGCTAATTGTATGATTTAGTACATATTTACCATGTGCCACAGATTCCTTTATCCATATTGTCTATTTTTTTTACTTAAAAAAATAAAAGAAATAGTGAAAGAATTTCAATTAAAAATAGATTATATAAATTTAAATTCCAACTAATTTTTTTTTATCAATTTTTTATTTATTTTCTTATAAAATTATAAATGATTTATATATTTTTTTAAATTCAAGCTAGAAAAAATTTATTAATTAATATGTGGAAAAAATCATTAGGCTAAAAAAAATCTATGGATTCAACCATAATAAGGACAAGTTCAATTAATTTATCAAACTTCTATAATAGTTAGCAAAACACCACTGTAGATTGATTTTATTTGAAGGGATTCTGTTTTTATCTCACAAATATTTATGTTATAATATGTTCTCAGTATTAGAATCTTATTGATAAATAATTTTTTTTTCTAATTACTATTATAAATAATAAAAAGTGTCATAAAATATTAATCATTATTATGAGCAAAAATGTCATTAGGTTACTAATTTAATCCTATACAACATCATTTACTTGTATTTTCTTAAACAAATGATTAATATTTATAAATCAAAAATTTTGAAACATACTGATAGAGCTTAATATATTTTGTTTAATTTTATATAAAATGTGAAAAATATATATATATTTTTAATTTTATATAAAATAAATAATTTTAATTTATAACAATGATGCAAAAGAATAAGTCAATATTAGTAACTTTTCATGACTCTCAACTAAAGTTTTAATTTCTTAAAAAGAAAATATACATAATATTAATTTACTAAACCTAGAGGTAATTTTCAATATAATTATTCTTAACGGATAAAAAATGTTAAAATTCATATGAATAAGACAAAATTATTCTCATAATGAAAACATAAAAATAATATAATATTTTCCTATACTTGTCATGGGGTCAGTTGATATGGTTCAGCAATTAAAATTTCACTCTCTGCTGCCCCTGGTACCCCTACCCCTCTAAATAGTACTAATGGTAAATAAGGGTTGAATATAGGACAGTGATGAAAGAGTGAAAAAACCTTGTGGAGTTTTCTTGTTTCTGTTTAAAGTCCTTCAAAAAATAAAGCACCTTTGCTGTCCAGGTCTCTTTACCCTTCCTTTTCCTCTTCCTCATCTTACACTCTCTCTCTCTGTCAAACTTTGCTTTCTCATGTTACATAACAATTATATAGTCTCAACAAAAAAGATTTATTAATATTCTTTTGTTACATAGCTTTTGTCTTGTCAGAATAATAGATAGGGAAATGAAGTCATGGCTAGTAGTATAGTATGATATGATCTCTTCACAAGATAACCAAAATGCCCTTGTTTACCCTTCTTCTATGCATATGGTGTATTCTGACCTTGGATCTCTCTCTCTTACTTCAAACAAAGAGAGTTATGGTTGCAAGACTTTTGTGATGGATGATGATATGGAAGGAAAAGGCTCTTATTGTAGTGAGGAAACTAACCCTAATGAGAATAATGGAAGTGGGAAAGAGGAAGATAATGGACAGTCTAGTAAATGTGCTAGAGGACATTGGAGACCTGCGGAAGATTCCAAGCTTAAAGAACTTGTTGCTCTTTATGGTCCTCAGAACTGGAATCTCATTGCTGAAAAGTTAGAAGGAAGATCAGGTATTCAAATGAAAATAATCATGATACAATCTTTCGTTTCTTGATATACATCTTGAAGAATTATATATTTTAGGTTGCATGATCATAGATGTATGTGTTAATAGTTATGTAGCGGTCGTCAAGGTTTTAAATAATGGTCGCGGTTGCGTAACGGCCGAGTCACAAAACCTCTCGCTTTCGGTTAGTATAGGTGATATAACAGTGTTTACGGTTGTCGCGGTGTGTATTAGTCACATAATTTATTCTGATATCGGTATCAGCACTTTTCGATACTGTTTTGTTGTTATGAGCTGATGTATTTTTTTGTTGTTGTATTTGAAGGCAAAAGTTGTAGGTTAAGATGGTTCAACCAACTGGATCCAAGAATAAACAGAAGAGCATTCAATGAAGAAGAGGAAGAGAGACTAATGCAAGCACATAGGATTTATGGAAACAAATGGGCCATGATAGCGAGACTATTTCCTGGAAGAACAGATAATGCTGTAAAGAATCACTGGCATGTTATAATGGCAAGAAAGTACAGAGAACAATCCAGTGCATACAGGAGAAGAAGGTTAATGAACCAATCTAGTGGTTTCAGAAGAATGGATCAAAATCCAAGCTTTATCTGCAGGGACACCGCAAGAATGGAGACAGAACCATCACCGCCTTATTTTCTCAATGGAGCCCCACTTGGGAATAGTATGTCCATTTTTCCATATGCTGCTTCTTTACAACATGGTGCTCATGGTGGTGGGGTTGAGTATGGTTTAAATGGTTTACCTCACATGAGTGGTGAGAGAGAAGGTTTTCAAGGACCCCTACATGTTGGTTTCTATGCTCAACAAGCACCTTTTGATTTCTTCTCTGGTGTGTGTCCTTTCTCTCTTGCACTATATTCTTCTGTTTTTGCATCTTCATTTTGTAGTTGACAAAGTTTAACAACCTAGAAAAACCAACCAACATAGTAGTTCTTATGAATTAAAGTTTGCAACCTAGAAAAAACAATGTCCACAACGAAATTTCTTTAATTGAGTCCTAAGCCTATAAGACTTCAAAATTTTCATATACTACAACAAAGTTAAATATCTTCTTGCATTTAAGTTTTGGTTCATGGTTAAACAAAAACGAATCCTATAATATAAGATTCTCTAATTTCCTTTCTTACAAAAACGAAAAAAAGAGAAGAAAAAATGAGAAACAAAACGAAAGAGATTGCATTTTTTAGAGAGTGATAGAGAGAAAGTCAGAGTGCAATTCTCTCACTATAGTCGGAGGATCCTCTTTCGTGGATTATAACAAAATGTGTCATATACACTTGAAATGACCGTTACAATGATTTTGCAAAAACCTCAAAATCGGATATATCTCGATTTTAAATCATGTTTTGGTTTATAAAATTGCATGATGTAAATGTAACCTTTTCATTCTATGTCACACTCATGATATAATATAAGCATGTTTATTTGAAGTTTAACTGGATTGGATTAAAAGGTAGTAGAAGAAACGAAATGGTGGAAGAATCAATGAATCATTCAAGATATTGGGATGGGACAAATGATGAATACCAACCACAACATCAACAACAACAAGAAATACCAAGTTTCCACCATCATTATCCACAACAACAATATCTCATGTCAATGCAGCAGCAACAACAACAAAACAATCACAATTTCAACAGTTTCTCAAATTCCTTAGCATCATCAACACCTCACAACAACACAGAAAACAGTGGAAAAGTTCTGATTGATGACACACAGGAACCAGTTGAAACTCGTCAATTTTTTGACTTCCTTGGAGTAGGTGCTACATGATCTTGAAATGAGGCCATAAAAAGGTGCAGAATTTTCCACGGAAGTTGCTGAATATAGGTGTGGTCCAACATAAATGAGAAGTCATTCAGAGGCAAATAGAAAGGATAGTTGCTTTAGTTTGGTGACTGTGTAAGACCATTGCGTCATTTCTGTTTGCATTGATGTCACCCTTTTTGTTTAACCCACATGGAACCCTTTTCAAAAATTAATAATCAGAGAGTTTAATTTATTTCATTATTTATAATGTTATTTTCATGTCTTTCTCTTTTATAAATACTACCCTTCGATTATTATTATAAAGAAATTTATTATTACTTTTTTACATTTCACAATTAATATATTTAATTTATATATTAATTAAATATATTAACGATTAAATATATATACATATAAAATTTGTTTATAGCGGTCAAATTTATCCGTTATATAAAATATGTCTTACACATCGGCTCAAATTAAAATCCCTTTGTCTTAAATTATTTTGTAAAAAAATTATTTTTATATTATAAGTTATTTTATACTATTAATAAGATATTAATTTATTTTTTATTTTATCCTCTATTATATATTACATTTTATCTTTAAATTCTTTTAGTTTTTTTTATATGTTGTAAGTGAATGACAATTCCTTCAAATTAAATATAATTTAACTTTTTCATATAAAATTAGTTATATTATTTAAATCACATGAATTGTCATAACGTCATATAATTTAAAACTGGAAGAGTGTGATGTTTTGATGATTTTATACAAATTAAAAAATATAATTATTTATTTTATATTACAACACTTTTAAAAGTATTATTTATTAATGACATGATATTCTTAAATGGAATAAAAGAGAAAAATGAATTGTAAAGAAAATAATAAAAAATAAGCATTAATTTTAATGGAATGGTAAAATAATTTATACTGTAAATATTTTTTTTTCAAACAGAACTTATAATGTGAGAAGAAGGGTGTATGTGAAGTATTAATGTATTTTTCAATTTGCTAGTATTATTTTTAATTACCCATTAATACTAATTTAATATGAAACCACTGATTTTCTATTGATACTCTCACCTATTTAAGTAGTACTACTCAATATATACTTTGATTATTTTTAGAGTCAAGAGATTTTGCCAAACTTCAATGTAAAAAAGACATTAAAGAATACTCAACTTTTTCAAATTATATATATAAATTTTTGTAGGCTCCTGCAATGTTTGCACTCAAAATCTTAAGATTTAAAACTTGTCTTTTTATTACCCTACCAAACCCTTGAGTTAAAGCCAAATTTTTTTATAAACGTTTCAAAGGAAATGAGATATTCTTTCCATGAAATAATACTAAATACATAATAGTGCCAATTTTTAATGTTTTTGTTTTGGGTATGCTACAAATCATATTTTGCTTGTAGGGTTTCTTTCTTAACCATTTGGGGTATGGTGATGAAAAAAGTGACAATGGATAATTAAAGTAAAAAAATGAAGGCAAGAAGAAGGGGGGAATGGAACTGTTGGGAAATCACTTTCTCATGGGCCTGCAATGCAATAACTCATGCACAATTTCTGCAACTGACTCCATATGTGCATTCATAATGGGTGGGTAACTGTTCAATATCCCTCTATCATCACCAGAATCTTTGTGTGAATTAAGGCCAACCATGTGTACTAGATAGTGTGCTTGTTTCTTAGGCATGGTAATCTCTTTTTTCAATAATTTTCTTAATAAATATTACTCTTTCTATTTTAAAAGAATGTTATTTTAGTTTTAAAAAATAGTTGTTTTTAACATTAATATAGTATCAAATTTCTCTTTTTTTTTTTTTTTTCTTTTCTATTGTTTTTGTTTCAGAAAACCACCGAGTTATTATACTACCTTCGCAAATTTCGTGACCATACACTTTAAATTTTTATTATCTTCGTCCTAAAGAAATTCTTTTTGATTCTTGTTACACCACCATTTATAGTAAGAATAATTTATTTTAGTTCCGAGCAATAAATATAGTCTTAATTTTTAAGATTAAGTTTCAATTTTTTTTGTTTAAACAATCATGTTTTTCAAAAAAAATTTAAAATAACCATATTTAAAAATAAAATAAAAAAGTAACTATATTTCAAAAAAAAATTGTACACAAGAGAAATAGCCAGAGAATATGTCACATGCACTCTATTTTTATACATAGGTATCATCATGCATGACGCATGCTTATACGTCATGCTATTGTATATGTGTCGCATGCATGTATCTTATAGGAGTATACGCCACAGACAGTGGCTACTGTGTTGTTTAAGGTTTTTTTTTATTATATATAATGCATCTCTTCTTCATCATTTTCACTCATCTTCTAAGTCTCTTTGTCAATTTTTCTTCAAAATGTTGTTTTATATACACAAGAGAAATACCAATTTGATTTATTCAGTAGTAAAGTCTCTGATGAAGATCCGACTCTAAAACATAGAGACGTTCAAGCATCTTCAGAGGAGTTTGATCCGTTGGTTAGATGGAGACATTGCAGACGGTGAAAAGATCAGAAGAATTCAAAGGCTTGTTATGATGTACAACGACAATGAAGAAAGTCATTTTTGAGAATCAAATAAAACTGACATTGATTTTTGTATTATGAAGCATAGTTGTGTGAAAATTGTCCTAATGGTTGTAATCACATAGATATGTTTTTTAGTTGTTGTATTTGTTTGTCTTGTTTAAATTATTGTTTTGTTGTTATTTTAATTGTTGCAACTGAATGTTGTGATATTTATGAAATGAACATTGTTTACAATATCAAATAAACTGGCTACATAAATTGAATTACATTTAAAATTACGTCGTGGAGTTTGGTCTGGCATTAGGACGGTTTGTACGATTGTGTCCGGTCTGACGATATGAAATACATATTTTTATTGTGCCAAACTGTCTTCCCTTGATATGCATGCAAATAATCCTCATTTTCTACAATCAGAAAGCTATTGTTGTACACATTGATAGGTTTATGATTTTGTAAATGGAAGATGGTAAGTTGGAAGGGTCCTGTCGAGCCTTTGAACATTCTGCTATGATATGGGAGCAAGGCATACTAAAGGCTTAGAACTTTTCGGAATCACACCAACATTTATCTAGTTCGAATCGATAGTATCCCTTTGACCTCCCCTCGTTATGGTCCATTGTCTCATCTACACTTAGCCAACCTTTATGATGGTCAAACATTGTAATTACATGTGTGTTAGCTTTGTCAGCTTCCTCCTTAATGAATTTCATTGAAGTTTCACTGAATAGCTGCCCCGATTGTAACACTGAACTCCGTTTTGAACGTATGATCTCAAACAGTGACCCTAACTTAAAATAGGTTACTCTCACCAAAATGGTTATTGGTAGGTTTCAGATACCTTTAAAGACAGAGTTCATTGATTCCACAAGATTTGTTGTCCTGTGGCCCCATCGTTGACATTTGTTGTCTTTGGCAACACTTTTTTAAGTAACGTGTAAAAATTGTTGCCTAAAATTCGTAAAGGCAACAATTTATGGGTGTTGACAAAAATATATATGCAACCCTTAATAATCGTTGTCTAAAATACTTTTGGGGACATTTTTAGAGTGTCACTCTTTTATTTTTTTTGGCAACGATTGTTAAATGTGCCTTTAACTACTTTTGGGGACGATTTTGGAGAGTCATTATACTATTTCTTTAGCAATGTTTGATAATTGTCCCCTTAAATATTTTAGGGGACATTTTTAGACTGTTACATTACTTGTAATAAAAGGCTACATTCATTCAATGTTGCATAAAATTTTAGGAACATCAAATTTTTGGTGGCAATCTTCCCTCCAAATTTATTAAAAAAAATTTAACACTTAATACTAAAAATTATTTAAAAAGTTTAAGACTTATCAAATTTTTGGTGGCAATCTTCCCTCCAATTTTCCTCTAAACATTATTAAAAAAAATTAAATACTAAAAATCATTTAACACTTAATAATACAAAAACTATATACTTATATATACCATTTAAAAAAAAGTTAAACGTACATATCAACCCACTATATTTTCATTATATATATATATATATATATATATATATATATATATATATATATATATATATATATATATATATATATATATATATATATATATATATATATATATATATATATATATATATATATATATATATATATATATATATATATAATTGAAAAAAAAATGAAAAGGAAAGCATGTTTCAGAATAACATATATACACAAAATTGAAAAAAGAAAAAAGAAAAAAAAATTGAAAAGGAAAACGTGAGGTTCTCCCACCTTTCTTCAAACATCTCACCGTCGATATCATCCAAAATCCATCGTCTTCTCCGATCACAACCACCAAACCAGCAACCACCTCGACGAATTTCTCAAATCTTCAACAGTTGAAGATGAAGCCTTTCGTTCTGGCATCTTACCCCTTTCTCGCATCGTAACTGCTCACTGTAATCCCGCTCATCGCACCACCTTCGAGTCCATCGACATCACCGTTCTTTCTTCCAACGACGACGTATTTAATTTCATCTTTTTTATTCTTTATTATATATGCGTTTTAATTTTATAGTTTTCTGATTTATTCTCTCTAAATCGTTCGTGGGAGCGACGTCGTTGTTTTCTCAGTTAAATCTCAATAAGGTATTTCTTTGATTTCAGTGTGGTTTGAGAAAGAAACTTGTAGTTTTATTGACTAGCTTTGTTGTTTTTGTTGTAGAAAAGGACGTTGTGTTGAAATTGAAGACACTTCTGACTAAGGAGAAGCTTTTGGTTCTGTTACTACTAGAATCAAGTTAAAAGGTCTTTAGGTAATGAAATTCAGTCCTTGTTCACCTTCATTTATGAATCTAGAGTCTAAACCATTAATATCATTATTAGATATGGTGTTGACGTGGTGTTTTTGATTTCCGTATTCTAGAGTTTATACATATTACATATAGTCTATTTGCTGGAAATAATTTATGACATTGTAGAGAATACAATAAGAACATGACAGT